GCTAAAGAGAAACATCACACAGAGAAACTGCAGCCATCAGAGATGGTAAGTCAGGCAGGAAATGAGGCCCTTTTCCATTCTGTGTCAGAAAGAAACTGGGAAACAGAAGAATACCTGCTGTTCTTGAAGTGAACCTGGACAGTCTAGTAGGGGAAGAAGGGATTGAGCTGGGGAGAACAAAGGGCACAGCTGGAGAGGTAGCAACACGTCCATGTCCAGCAGCTCTTCCCAGCCTCCTGCACTGGAGGAACCACCTTGCGCCAGCAGCTTCACCTTCCCTGCAAGCACCGGGTCAGCAGCTGCCCCAGGACAGCAACAGCCCATGATATTCATATAACAAATGAGAATACACCACACAGAAATAACGCCTCACTCACTGCGCTCTTTAATAACTCTGTGAGCTGCTACAGGCAATGTGTCCTGAAAATAAAACATGTTTTTTCGGGATGCATTTATGCTGAAGCTCACAGCAGGGCATTCGGACTCTCAGAAAACCAGCCGACGACCCCCGCTGCTATCCAAGCACACAGACCCTTCCCCACAGACTGCCCAAAGCTCTGCCCGTTCAGGAAACGGCCGTCTAATCTAATCAGAAGAATTAATGTTCAACCCGAGCCCTTGTTAGCAACATAATTAATTTACTTAAGTACTAACACTCCCTTCCAACAAGACTGCCTTTTTTCCAAGCTGCAAAGCTCTGAGCAGTGCACATTTTGTCTTCTTCCGCAATAAATAAATAAAGGCGTAGTTTTAAAGTCGACAGAGCTCTCGCCAAGTCCTCTGCGAAGGAGGCAGGGAAGAGCAGGAGAGGGGAGGGCTTCACACCAAGACAGCCAGAGAGTTAAATGGGAAACAAATTGTTAAGCAGCTTTACAGAACAGAAACTGCACTCAAACATTTCTTGGCTGCCTAAGGAAAAAAAAAAAGTTAAGAAATCTTGAGATAACTGGGATAAAAAGCAGCAAAAAACAATAAGGGAAGAAAACAAAGGAGAAACGTAGGAGTAAAAGAGGGCAGAATTTCTGATGACTCTAGCAACAACACTGCCTTGGGCAGCAAAACTGAATCTGCTTACAGGGAGCTCCAGAATGAGACCACAGGGCACCTATTCCGATGGACCTGCAGGGAACCAAAATTTTTGCATGCTTTATGCAGGACAGATTGCACATGCAGAAGATGCTGCACCATGCAAACACAAATGCAGAATTATTCATAAAAACACAGTTAGCTGCACAACTTTCCCCCTCTGAGAAATGAGTCCTAGTTAGGATTAACCAGCAGAGTGGCACCAGGAAAAGAAGTGTGCAAAGCAGAGCATAGACTCGGATTTTAAAGGTATCAAAAAGGCTGATACTTGTACAAAAGTGCTGGCTGACAGCACTTTATAAGTTAAAGTCCCTGCACTTTGATCTAGGAGTCAAAGCTGCCAGGTTTTGTTCACTTCCATTTCTCTTCTTGCCTGGGCTCACTGCACACACAGCCTACGAGCACGGAGTGAGAAGCACGGGCTGGGAAAGAGGGTACCCCAAACTCAGAGGCTTCTGGACAGTTCCTCCAAGATGCCAAGAGTGGAATCAATGTTATGCCTTGTAGCCTAGGCACTGCGTTTATCACAGTTTTAGAGTGACATACCTTATTTTCTGTGGCAATAAAGATTATCAGGTCCTGAACACCATCACTATCCACATCTGGAATCACTGACAAGGGAGTCAGCACAGTGTAATTAGTTCCAAAGTCACTGGACTGTCTCCATTGAACTTCCCCTAGAAGACATTGTTATTGAAAAACATTCACTAACATGCACTTCATGGTGAAAGGTTTTTAAATGCCCTTTTCCTCAAAGTACTTTGCAGGAGCCAGTCATTTATAGCCCTTTAGCAACAAATCAAATTTATACCTGACATGGGGTATTTTGTTGTATTTCTGCATTTCAGCTAAGTTCCAGTATCTAGGATTTCAGCTGATACTGGAAAATAATCCCAGTTGCCTGCAAAAATGCATCCCACATCCTAGGAAAAAGCCAATCATCAGGCTAAGAGAACACCCTGCTTCTCCTGGCTGCAGCTTACAAGCTTCCCAGCACGTTCACAGCACGCTCACGGCAGATCACATTTTTTGTCATCTGAAAAAAAACCCCAATATTGTGAGATGAAACGTGTGTGCACAGCCCTTCAGGACCACAGAGAAGCTGAGCTCTGAACCGCGTATTCGGAGAAAATGTTTTCCTGGAACTTGACTCCTGCAGATCTTCCCAGCTGACATGGTTGGTCACCATGTGGTTGTAATCCCAACGTTCTCCCTTTGAAGAAGGGACAGAAGGGAGTTTGAAAAATCTCTTCAGTCTTTTTTTTTTGGTAAATTCAGATAGTAGGATTTTTTTTTTTTAATTGGGGGAAGGAATCTCTTCAACAACTCAAAGGCTTTACTTGGATTAAATCCACCCTGGGCTCCTGGAGGTTCTCCAACCACGGGCCACATGCAGTGGAATTTGCTGGGGGCAGGACAGGGATGGTTTATCAGGGTTTTTCTTTTTTAAGGACGACTTAAGGGACTAACTAGGTACTCCTGGAGGAAATGATTACCCTCCCCTTTAAACAGTATCACACACACCACAATCATCATTCCAGGAATGCAAAGTAACATCTGTTCTTTGTCAGGAAAGGAGCTGTACCACATGCCAAGGAATTTCTATGCTGCCTGCAATAATTTAAGACAGGTTGCATTTCCAGTGTGATTCCTCCCAAGCTTTCACTGAAACACTGAAAAAGTACTTGGATTTGTTACTATGACAACAGATGTGAAACAGAAGAGTGCCCCTAGGAAATAATAGGAAGGCAAAGAACCTCATCCCTGCAAAACAACAAGCAGACAAAGAAGGAGAGAACATAAGTTTTAAATAATTGTATCTTGGCTTCTGCACAATCCAAAGCTACAGAAGAAAAATCAAGCTGCTGAAATGCATTTTTAAATGCACATGGCTGTCTTCTTTGTTGGTCTGACAGTGAAAATAGTTTTGGAAGAGTGTCTTACTGTTTCAAAGGAAGTCTAATAGAAACAGGTATCTGTGAGACAGATTCCAAACAAAACATTGGCCTTAATAAACTTTCATATTCCTAATAGTTTGTGCTCCATGAGGACTGTTTCTAGTCCCATCCTGCTCTGTTAACAGTAGATCTGACTACTCTGTCAGACACCTAGAGTGCTACTGTGCGTCCTCAGAGCCCCAGATCACAGCAAAATCAGGGCAGTATTAGACATGTACCCAGACAGGAAATCTGATTTGGAGTGAAGCAGGGGGTTGTTTGCTCTGGAAAGAATAATAAAAACTGGGGCTTAGATGACTGAGTCCAGCTCATCCTTCGAGCAGCTGCAGAGGATGCAGGATTGCTTGCCTCAGGCTCGTGGTGCTCCAGAAGCACACAGAAATACTTTGCTTTCCCACTGCGCAGCCACGGGCAGCCCACAGGCCACCTGAGGCAAATGCAGAACTTTAGTATCCGGTCTGTTTGACTCTTCTCCCAGGTCCCTGCACACTTGTTTAACTGGTTGCATGTAAGCTCTTGGCATCCAGAATATAGCGGATGTGAATAAGCTCTTGGCATCCAGAATATAGTGGATGTGAATATTCCCCTTTTTGCTTTCTCAGAACCTACCCCTTTACAAAAGAAACAGGCAGCTGTGAAGAACTGGAACAGTAAATCATTCTCTGTTCCTCTTTTCCTATCACTCAGTTTTATATACTTCTCTCTCCCTGTCACGTTCTCCACACCAAAGAGTGCAGGTTTAGCTAGAGGCTGCTTGCAGAGCAGTTTCACACATCCATCACTGCAGTTCCCCATCTCCTCTGCTCCTTACAGGACCGGTGAGATCTGACCTGCTCACAGCATTCACAGGGCAGGTCGCTGGAGGACAAAGCATCGAGAGAAGGTGTCGCAACACACCTATTCCTGTGCTCTTCCTTGGGACTCTGCTTCTGGCGACAGCAGAGATGAAAAACTGAGCTACACGGACCTTTGCTTTGACCTGGAACAGCTCATCTTAAGCTTCTGTGTTCCGCTTTGCTTTTAGGATAAACATGCAGGAATGTTGAATACTCTACACAAACAGAAGAACACAATCCCTACAGTTGTTCTCTTGTTTTCTCAGGCCAGTTATTCTATCAATAAAGCAAGTAAGGTTTAGCGCAGCCTGAACTGATAGAAAAGCACTAATTTTATCAGTGTCTGAAGATCAAAAATACATGCCAGACACTTTCGGATGATAATCTGCTTACTTCTCCTTCAGCCTTCCCACAAGCAGAGGCTAAGCAGACTAAGATCCCTGGAATTGCACCAATTTTCCGTGACAGTGAGCCATTAACTTCTAAAGATTGTTCTGACTACTGTTTTCAGCAAGATGTGATGAAAATCAGACCATTTCACTTATATCTAACAGAATGGAGATTTTATTCTGATCTGCCCTCCTAACACTCAGCTAAAGTCAAGTGCACTAAGAAACCTCTTTTAACCTACTTTAAGCCGTAACAAAAAGGTATCAAGTAAGCCTGCTTCTGGGTTATTCCCTTTTCTGCTTGAAGCAGTTTTTAATCTTTTGCTTTTAACTTATTTATGGAGTGCTTTCTTACCACATTGCTCCTATGACTTGTGGCTTAGCCTGATTCTTTCTCCATACGGTTATGCTATTTCTTTATGGTCATCTTTAGCTACATATCTCTGGCTTAGCAGCCACGTTTCTATGTTTTGACCTAAGAGCAACTATTCCATTAAAAGTCTATAAATAGCCTGTTTGAAAGCCTACTGAGGAGGAGAAACTGTGCTAAAATATAGAAGCATTCTAGCTATATCTGTGCACATGCATGCACACTTACATGTTTGTCTGGGCTCACTCCATCTATAGGAGAAATAAAAAGCAACGGGAATGTTTTTTTCCTCAGGTTCATTAGGGCTGTACCTCTTGCTATCTCTTCCCCAATTTTTGGAAAAGAGGGAGCGCAATATCAGGTACAAGAAGATGGGATCTTAGGCATGTTTCCAAGGAAGAACGCACATTGTTCGCCGCCTTTGCACAACTGGCCCCCAAAATGGAGATCTTTCTCAGAGAAGAAAGTTCAAGGTGCAAAAGATGAAATACACAATGAATTCAAGTACTCTTTACCCCCTCCTCCTCTAGGCAAGATGAGGAAGAATCTTCCCATCTGCAGGCCACAGACATAAAGAAAGCTTTCCAGAGAAACCATGAAGAATCCTGGATGAGTGAAAGAGACTGGCAAGTTCTTGAAGTCGGTGGTGGCAATTTAAGTACAAACTTATCTCAAGTGCTCTCCTTAATGACTTATAGATCTTAGATCCCTGGAACTCCCATTGCTCTTGTTGCAGGCATTCCTAGCATTCACACGCAAAAGACTGACTGAAGAATCTCAGGTTTCTTTCCAATCTGAACGTTACTGTATACACTTACACAGCTAGCGACTGCTTCTCCTATTTCAAAAGATGTTGGAAAGCTGTTTCTACAGTACTGTAATGGGCACAAAACACCACAAGAGTCCATCCCAAGAGGCAGGCTGGGAGAACAGGCACTTCTCAAAGGCCCAGCAATGGTTCTGGCAAGGTTTCCAAGCACTGTGCACATCACTCACGTATCAGCCTGTCATGCTGACATTCCTAGCCTCAAAAGTCTGAAGGGCAACAAGTGAGGAAAGCAACTAACGTCCCCTGGATTCCTGCTCACCACTCACCTGTCTGCTGGTCAAGGGCAGTAAGAGCCACTGGCTTCCCCACAACTAGGCAACCTGGGGCCTGAGCCCCACCAAGCTGCTCGATGCCACACTGCACCCACTCGACGTCCTCAGCAGCAGCCCTTTCCCAGAGAACGCTGCCGTTCGTGCCAGACACGGCAGCGACGAAGGCACACGGAGAAGGCAGACCTGCAGAGAACACATGTCAAAGGGAGTGCCAAAACCACCTTTAGTGCTCTGCGCCACCAAACTGCTGTGATTTGGCATCTTCTTCTTCTCCCCACTTAGCTAATCTCCTTTTCTCTCCCATTCCCACTGTCTTTCCCTTTATCCCCATTTTCCCTCTGGCGGAAGCACACAATACCTCTGGCTTTGCAATACAAAGGAGAATTAAAATGCAGGGTAACAACCACACAGGAGTATCTAACTCGAGACATTTGCTACAGCAGTCCCACTTACCAAAACTGAAAGAGAAAGAAGAGCCCTTGCCACAAGGCTTTCTATTTCTGAATCAGTTACCTTCATCCAAACAGGATCTGTTGAAGCTGCTGCTGCTGCCATTGTTAGCTTTGAAAACAAAGATGACATCTTGCACTTTGTCCTTGTTCACATCTTCTATAGCCAAAAACTGGTAGGCAACTGGAAAAGAGATGACAATCTAGATGCTTGTAAGAAATGCCCGAATCAACAACAGGTCTAACTGGAACAAAATACAAATTCCTAGAGACCTACTCACTGCCTCCCTCAGCAACAGTGCTACATCAGGACAAAATGGCTTTCGTACAAAAAAAAAATGCATCTACATGAGTACTAAGGAATAGCAGTTAATGCTCAAGGCTTTCCCTCATTTGCCATTTCCCAGAGGATTTGTCTTCCCATACAGCCAAGCATCCAGAATTTGAAAAATGTCAAAGAACGAACTCTGGTCTTGGTGTGGTGTTGCTATTCCCAAAATACAAACAACTCACGGAACATTGAGCTCCTGATAAAACATCTTTCTCACTCGCAGCCAAAACCAATCTCCTTTTGTTCAAAGTAACAGTCCTTCAGATTTAGGCATTAAAACACAGAGCCCCCATTGGCGAGCACTAGGTCTGCATTTGCAGCAGACATATGAAGCACAACCACTGCACAGGAGGCTAAAGAAAGAGCCACCAAGGATCAGTACCCAGATTACATAGTTGATTAAAGCAACCACAATTTTCTGCATTAAAAAAAAAAAAAAAGATGAATTTCCCCTTCACCCTTCCCTTTTAGCCACAGATAGGTCAGAAAGTCATACTGATGGAGGAAGAACACCTAACTTCTCCCACACCTGACCTCAAACTTCAAGGGAATATTTTACAGACCACAATTCAATAAAGATTTATTTTCAGATAACCTTCCTCACTTTCAAATGAGGCCAGTCTGCTACCTTGTTAGAGCTCCAAGAGAGGCATCTAACTTCTCTGTTATATCCTGTAAACACCTCCTGGAAGGCCACTTCAATTACAATGGGCCACTGCATATCCAGGTCAGGCACTCACAGTTCTTGCTCCCAGGGGCACCATCCCTGCAGGCCTGACTCCAGAACACTTTTAGGGAGAGTTCCACAATCAACATTTCTAACACAAAGGAAAAGGACTGTCAGGAAGTGTTCTCCTGTTACACCAAACTCACCTGCGTCGTCATAGTTTCGGAACCAGGTTCGTTCAGAAACGGGCCTCTCGGGGCAAGGAATGACAAATGAGAAAGCAAACACAATTATCAGACACAGAAATAACGAGATGAAGAAGGCAGCAGTGCGCCACCGGGACAGCCGAGACAGTTGTGGTGACTGCTTGCTGCCAACTCGTCTCTCAACAGAGTTTTCATGGTTCTCTTGAGCTTTTACATCCTCATGCTTCAGAGGGTGGATCTCGGCTTCTGCCTCTTTGCTGTCCATCACAGCTCACTCATCAGTACTCGAGCAGCCTTCTCCTCCTTCACCTACAACGGAAAGAGCAGTTAAAACAGATTTTGGAATAAAGCAAAAATGACAAAATATTCTCTGACTACCTGACATGAAGCTGGAAACCTCTAAGAGTAGGTAAGCACATCAGTGCATTGTCATACAGCTGCATACAAAGTGATTCTGGCCCTGGAGGTCTCCCACATGGAACTAGGGGAAAGCCTGGAGGATGCAGAAATGCCACTAGTGCTTTGGAGCAGGAGGAAATCAGCACTGCAAAGCCTGGAGCAAGGACAAAGAAAGCTACAAACCCTCAAGATCTTTATGCCTGAGAGGCTGATGTGGCCTGTGAGGGTCTCATGAAAGAGACACCAAAAGCTCATTTTGATGAAAAGACTCCTTGCTGCCACTTCCAGCATATTTCAGCCTGATTTCTGCCTGGATAAGTGAAAGGAAATATCTGACTTTCATATTCTAACATAAAGCCATTCCCTGGCATAATGAACACAGGAGCTTCCCCCAGGGAAGAGAAAAAGAGCGAAACACCAAAGCATTCTGTTTAGGAACAAAACATCACCATCTCAGATAAGAAATCATTTGATATTGTTTTGTAACCCAGACCCAAAGAAGGCAAGAGCACAACCACTTACCTCCTGGGGTAAAAAGAGGACACGAGTTGAGACTAAAATTGGATAAATTTGATTTCATCAGATTGGAAGAAGAGCTAATAATTGCTATTTTAGTTTCCCCTGCTAGAAGCCATTATCTATAATTACTGAAATGGCACCTGGGGAAGACAATTCCCCCCTTTCCTCCAAATAATGAAATCATTTTTTTTCAGCTTTTCTGATTATCATCTTTCTGATAGGAAAGGCCAGGCTCCTTTCTCCAACTCCTGAGGGCTGCAGCAAAGCAAAGCGCAGAAGCTACACACAAGGATGCCCTTCTCCAAGGGCTCCCTATTGCAGAGGGCATGGGCCAAAAACCTTCAGCAGTCAACACCACCCCCCCCCAAAAAAAAAAAGACAGACCAAAACCTCCTTCTGGCACTCATGAGGGTGATTTTGAAGTAACAGGGAGAATACCTTGAGTTATAGCTACAATAACAGCAGGTTGTTTTGTTGTTGATTTGTTCTGAGAAGCCAAAAAACTAAGCACACAGAGACTGAGGTCTACAACTTAACATCCATAATAATTATAAAAATCA